ACTCAGTAACCACATTATGGCAGCTCTGTTTTCTTCACATTTTAGTTATTACATCACATTGTTCTCTGAATTGTTTGTTTTATTTACTTTTTTCATCTGTCCTTACTGATTTCAATGAAAATACGAAGATTCTCATAAGCACTGCTGCTCCAAGATATTCCACTACAGTCACAAGAAATTATTGTGATAAAAATAACACTCTCCAACAAATTAATGTCAAAATAATGTCTGTCCAACAAATGTCTGAATCCTTGAATGACTTAAAGAAAAACAAAACAGCCATTAATGCATGAAATATATATATATATATATATATATATAGAAAATTTTAACATTTTAAACAATGTGTAGTTTTTGCAACAGGAGGAGATCCGTGCAGGAATAGATTTGGATTTTTGGTAAATGAAACTAGTTAATTAATATTATTATTATTATTACTACTACAAAAGTCAATTGATAGCCTAACATGAAATATTAACAAACAGTACATTATAAATTCTAACATATTATAGTGAATGTATTTGATTATAATTACTGCCAATTTGAGTATACATTTACTCGCTTTGTGGAAGAAAATGCGCTTTTTTCAGGACTTCCAGGCACAGATCATCTCGGCAGGAAATATAAGAGATGATGTTTTATGGGAGGAGTCAGGCAGGAGGCTGAAGAAATGCCGGCTGCTGATTGGCTGCTGTCCGCGGTGCTGATGCGGGAGAGAGTGGCGCTCTGCTTTCTGCTGCTCGAAATGGATTTCCACCAAACTTGTCCCACTGATAATTCCTATGTATTGTAGGATATAACTGAGCACATCAGATGCATTTGGTTTGTGTACATGTGAAAATAAGCCATGATCAGTTCAGCATGAAGTATGAACAGACTCCATCCTCCTGTGCTCAATAATTGGGAAATGTCCTCATTCTTCTGATATACTGCTGAATAATATAAAATACACTGCATGCATCTGACTGGTACTTCCATGGATTAGACAGAAAGTCAAAGATATAAAACATCTAAACTAGTAATAGGCCTTTTCTTTGACAGTCATAATGAACATTCACTGAGCTCAAATGCCTGCGAGTTTCACAGACAGCTCGTGCTGTCCCAGGTAGGTGTGTTTGAGCTCGTGCTTTATTGTCCGTGTATGTCCATCTGAATAATATAGCCTATATACAGACATTATTGTGCTCTTGGTGCTGAGAATCTTAATAAAAACTGTATGGTTACGGTCTTGTGGCACCTGAATTTTCAGCATCATTACTCCAGTCTTCAGTGTCACATGATCCATCAGAAATCATTCTAATATGCTGATTTGCTGCTCGAGAAACATTACTATCAGTATTAAAAACGTTTTTGTGTGGAAACCATGATTACGTGATAAATAGTAACAGAAATCTTTTGTAACATTATAAATTATTTACCGTCACCTTTGATCAATTTATCTTCTGATATACTGCTGAATAATATAAAATACACTGCATGCATCTGACTGGTACTTCCATGGATTAGACAGTTCAGTCAAAGTCAAATATATAAAACATCTAAACTAGTAGTAGGTCAATTATTTGACAGTCATAATGAACATTCACTGAGCTCAAATGCCTGCGAGTGAGGGTGTCAGTAAATTCTATTAAACTCTGTTATAGCAAGGAAAGTGTATAATAGCATAATATGCTCTGAGCTGTGCTACTCTGTTCCGGCACTTAACCTTTTATAAGTATCATATTCAGAGACTGCCATTTTAACTCATTATATGAGGCGTGCTGCAGCATTTGGTACTTATTTAGAGTAGAAAACATTTTAAAAATCCGTCATTTAACTCCTTAAGCTTTATAAAAAATAAAAAACACTGATTCAAAGTTTTTTAGTTAAAAATAATGAAATTCAGTTATTGAGCAAGTAGATAAAAAAAAAATCGGTGTCCAAAATTGTGTTCTTGCCTTACTCAGTATGGTTGTAACACTTGTTGTTTCACCATCTGTAACTCACTGAATGTTTTTAGCTAGAGTGCTCAAACTTTTATACAAAGAACCCACTTTTGATGGATTGATTTGATGCATCACATTTTGCCTGCGACTCTATTATTTATTCTGATGTAAGTTATATGACTTTATCTGCAACAGTTTAAGTACAACACAAAATAGAGTTTTGGTCAAAAAATTTACATTCTTATCTCAAAATAAGTTTTTTTTTTCTTTATAAAATCTGCATGTACCTATTTACAGCCTTGATAACCATTCATATAAGATCTGGGAAGAAGTGGGTAAATAATGAAATTATCATAGGACTCCTAGCTTATCCCTGATTGGTGGAATTGGTGTTGTTACAACTCTCCCCATGTTACGACCATACCCAGTCTCCCTACACTAAAAATATCTGTAAAAAAAATAAAATAAATAAAATCAAAATTTAGGGCACACTGTACTGTATTAATATGAAGGAATTTTCATTGGGTTGTGATTTAGGGTTAATGGAAATGTCTGTAATATTAATGCATAATGTCCTTTTCTGTTTTACAGTGTAATTAATAATCATTCTAATATGCTGATTTGCTGCTCGAGAAACATTACTATCAGTATTAAAAACGTTTTTGTGTGGAAACCATGATTACGTGATAAATAGTAACAGAAATCTTTTGTAACATTATAAATTATTTACCGTCACCTTTGATCAATTTAGTGTGTTCTTTTTGGGATAAGAACACAGTTCAAAAGTCTTACTGGCTCAAAACCTTTAAATAGTCTTTTTTTTTCTAGGCATGGCATTTTGAGATTCAACTACAATCCAGTTCAACCTCTTATGCTCAGTCCCTCATTTACAAACCAAGAAAAAGGGGAGTGGAGCTGACCTGATTGACAAGCCTCGTCCTCTTGGTGGAATTGGTGTTGTTACAACTCTCCCCATGTTACGACCATACCCAGTCTCCCTACACTAAAAATATCTGTAAAAAAAATAAAAAAAATAAAATCAAAATTTAGGGCACACTGTACTGTATTAATATGAAGGAATTTTCATTGGGTTGTGATTTAGGGTTAATGGAAATGTCTGTAATATTAATGCATAATGTCCTTTTCTGTTTTACAGTGTAATTAATTAAATTAATTAAATAAATAAATAATAACACACTGGGCTGTCGGGTTGGATTTGGCGGGAAATGTCAAGCCGACCTCATTCGTTCTTAGGTATACGTCATGTCCGTAAACACAGAAAGGGTCTATGACGCTTGTGGATGCTTTTACAATAAATAGTGTGGCTGCTTATAATCTGAAATGGTTGCTGTTTAATTATAACCTGTCAACTGTCATTAAACTCAACAAATGGGAATCAGCCAAATATATATATATATATATATATATA